TTGGCATCTCCAACTAGACTGCTGGACGTCAGGGGACACCATCCAGAGTGACAAGAAAAAAGGACTGCAACTCTGGAGCCCTTCAACCAGCCGAGATGCCACTCATGGGTCAGAGAGAAAGCTAGACACCTGCAGATGTGCAAGGATTCAGAGGGCGAAGTTCTGTAGCCGCAGCTGTTCATCGGAACAGAGCCCTCCGGCAGTGGGAGAAGGGGCGCGAGGAGAGTGGTGAGCAGTGACCCTGACCACATGTAAGGTGAGGTATATCAGTGGATAGTGATGATGGCCACCACTCGTCTGTCAGTTGGCCGTGCGGCGGCGGCTTGCGTGTTGCTTTCGGGACCTTCATTGGTTGATGGGGCACGACTTAAAGTGGGAAGAAACAGCTGCAAACATCCATTAATAATTGGAATGTTGAATGTACAAAGTATGAATCTAGGGACAATTGGAGGTTGTAAAAAATGAAATGGAAGGCATAAAGATCAATATCCCAGGCATTAGTGAGCTGAAATGGACTGGCATTGGCCATTTTAAATCAGACAATCATGATCTACTATGCTGGGATGACAAACTGAAGAGGAATGTCATCATATTCATGGTCAAAAAGAGTGCTTCAAGATCTGTCCTGAAGTACAGTGCTGTCAGTGATAGGATTATATCCATATGACTACAAGGAAGACTATAATACTAATATTATTCAAATTTATGCACCAACCACTAAAGCCAAAGATGAAGAAATTGAAGATTTTCATTAACTTCTTTTTTTTTTTATTTTCATTAACTTCTGCAGTATGAAATTGACCAAACATGCCATCAAGATGCATTGATTATCACTGGTGATTGGAATGCGAAAGTTGGAAACAAAGAAGAATTATTGGTAGTTGGAAAATATAGGAGCCTTGGTGACAGAAATGACACCAGAGACTGCATGATAGAATTTTGTAAGACCAATGACTTATTCATTGCAAATACCTTTTTTCAACAATATAAATGGTGGCTATACATGTGGACATCTCCAGATGAAATACACAGGAATCAGATCAACTACATCTGTGGAAAGAGGGGATGGAGAAGCCAATATCTTCAATCAAAATAAGACCAGGAGCTGACTGTGGATTAGACCATCAATTGTTCATATGCAAGTTCTAGTTGAAGCTGAAGAAAATTAAAACAAGTCCACAAGAACCAAAATATGACCTTGATTATACTCCACCTGAATTTAGAGACCATCTGAAGAATAGATTTGACACATTGAACACCAATGACTGAAAACCAGACGAGTTGTGGGATGACATCAAGAACATCGTACGTGAAGAAAACAAAAGTCATTTATTTAAAAGGCTGGAAAGGAAGAAAAGGCCAAAATGGATGTCAGAAGAGACTCTGAAACTTGCTCTTGAACAGAGAGTAGCTAAAGCAGATGAAAGAAATGACAAGATAAAAGATATGAACAGAAGATTTCGAAAGACAGCTCAAGAAGACAAAGTTAATTACTATAATGAGATGTGCAAAGATCTGGAGTTAAAAAACCAAAAAGGAAGAACACGCTCAGCATTTCTCAAGCTGAAAAACACTGAAGAAAATATTTAAGCCTCAAGTTTCATTATTGAGAGGATTCTAAGGGCAAAATATTGAATGATGCATGAGGCATCAAAAGAAGATGGAAGGAATAACCAGAGTCACTACACAAAAAAGAATTGGTCAATGTTCCACTGTTTCAGGAGGTAGCATATGATCAAGATGATCAATGGTATTGAAGGAGGAAGTCAAAGCTGCACTGAAGGAACTGGTGAAAAACAAGGCTCCAGGAAATGATGAAATACCCATTGAGATATTTCAACAAACAATGCAGTGCTGGAGGCATTTACTTGTTTATGCCAGGAAATTTGGAAGGCTACCTGGCCATCTGACTGGAAGAGATCAATATTTATGTCCATTCCAAAGAAAGGTGATCCAACAGAATGTGTTGAACAATATCATTAATATCACACACAAGTAAAATTTTGCTTAAGAATTAAAAAATGGTTGTAGCAGTATATTGATTGGGAACTTCCAGAAATGCAAGCTGAATCAGATGAGGACGTGGAACAGGAATGTCATTGCTGATGTCAGATGGATCTTGGCTGAAAGCAAAGAATACCAGAAAGATGTTTACCTATGTTTTATTGTCTATGCAAAAGCATTTGACTGTATGGATCATAACAAATTATGGATAACATTGAGAATAATATGAAGTCCAGAACACTTAATTGTGCTTATGAGGAGCCTGTACATAGACCAAGAGGCTGTCATTTGAACAGAAAAGGGGACACTAGATGGTTTAAAATCAGGAAGGACGTGCATCAGGGTTGTATCCTTTCACTATACTTATTCAATCTGTATGCTGAGTAATCTGAGAAGGTGGACTATATGAAGAAGAACACAGTACCAGGATTGGAGGAAGCACCATTAACAACCTGCAATATGCAGATGACACAATCTTTTTTGCTGAAAGCAAAGATGAATTGAAGCCCTTACATATGAAGATCAAAGACTACACTCTTCAGTAGGGATTACACTTCAACATAAAACAAAAGTCCTCACAACCAGATTTTAAAAAAGCCACAATACGATAAACGGAAGAAAGTTTGAAGTTGTCAGGGATTTCACTTTACTTAGATCCACAATCAATACCCATGGAAGCAGCCATTAAGAAATCAGAAAAGGTAGTGTACCAGGCAAATCTACTGCAAAAGACCTCTT